TCTGTGTGATTAATGCGATAAATGATATCGATAAACACTCCTTGCGTGAGGTTGAGTGTGAAATTTATGTTAACTGAATTTACTCAGTGATCTACATGAAGAAAAGGTCTCGAAATATATAGTGCAAATTTAGGTATACATGTAGGGGGGTTGGCTCATTTAAGCTTTTTAGTTTTAATTACGTGTGGTGATATTTACAATGAGTGTAACTACGCTCTGCCGCGATCAGTGTGCTGGTTATGACGCTGAACAATCGTAGGACGTGGCCATAAAAATAAAAAATCCTCCTTTACTTTGGTATAAACAAAGTAACATCTACAAAGTATTTCATGGAAAGTACATGGTATTTAACCATTAGTAGATGACGCAAATCGTACGAACGGTTCCGATACAAAAGCAGTGAGTGTGTAAATAAATACCAAGTTGATGTGCGAAATTCAGAGATTCTAAATCTTGCCTCAAAATGATCGGAAAAGGCATTAGAACTCATTGGTGCTCTGGATCATGACAAAACATTTCGCTAGTGTTTTTTTGGCTAGAAGGAATCAATATACCAATGTTGGGAAGATGTGTTTGCTTTTAAAGTTAATACATATCAAATTCGACAATACATAAGCTTACCTTCGATCGTTGTCACAAACTGGCACAGCGTTGTGATCGCCGCCGAGCCGAACGTAATAACACTCGTTGTAAATATCAGCACATGTACTTACAACTGGAAAGGCTTAATAAATGAGTCCACATTCCCCGCTCATTTATACCTGGTAAGTTAGTACTATATATTTCGAGACCATTCAGTAAATTTCACAGTCCAGACCTTTCGCAAGAAGGAGTGTTTAACGATAGATTTCATCGCATTGATCCCACAAAAACTTACAGTCAACGCACCAACATTAGTCACCTCCGCTTCTCATAAGGACACTGGTTTTAAACGGAGAAACAGCTCCACACCATACATTTCTTTATAGCGACTTGCAATGTTTGCCCCCTGGCGATCCCATAATCCTGTGCGCATCACTAAGTCTCCGATTACTGGAAAATCATTCATTAAGTAAAGAATGAAAAAGGGTTCATGACTGGGGGAAAAGTGCGACAATATCCTTACTTTGTCGGACTTTTCCACACTTCCACACCTCTGAGAAGTGTAGAACTAAGTAAAGAATGACAAAGGGTTCATTACTGGAGGGAAAGTGCGACAATATCCTTACTTTGTCAGACTTTTCCACACTTCCACACCTCTGAGAAGTGTGGAACTAAGTAAAGAATGAAAAAGGGTTCATGACTGGGGGGAAAGTGCGACAATATCCTTACTTTGTCAGACTACTCCACACTTCCACACCTCTGAGAAAAGTGGAACTAAGTAAGAAGTGAAGAAACTCTGGATTTCATGGCCAAGGCTGGACATGGCTCCAACGCTCACGCGTATATGAAATTCTCGAAGAAAAATTTTGCGCCGTACGCAAAAAATGCGACAGTAAAAAATATAATAACAATATATAAATATAATGTGGGGATGAAAAGTCTTGATCGAGCTTTGATCGAGCAATAATTGTTAGTGACACTCTAAAGACAGAAACGTCTCCAAGTTTTATTTCTTAGGTTCGGGTTCCGGTTCCGTTTCCGGCTCCGGCTCCGGTTCCGGATTCCGGATTCCGGCTTTTCCATACGCCCTTTGAAGGGTTCCCTATCCAGATTTTTCGAATACTCCATTGTTCTAAAAGCCTTTTCTTCGAACCAACAAACGTTTCCCCTGAATTTGCTTCCGTCAGGATGATGTGTAGAGATGGATAGTAATGTGTAGTGATGGATAATGATGTGTGGTAATGGTTAGTGATGTGTAGTGATGAATAGAGATGTGTAGTGATAGATAGTGATGTGTAGTAATGGATAGTGATGTGTAGCCGGATGGATAATAATGTGTAGTAATGGATAGTGATGTGTAGTGGTGGACAGTGATGTGTAGTGATGGATAGTGATGGGTAGTGATGGATAATGATGTGTAGTAATGGAAAGTGATGTGTAGTGATGGATAGAGACGTGTAGTAATGGATAGTGATGTGTAGTGATGGATAGAGATGTGTAGTAATGGATAGTGATGTCTAGAGATGGATAGTGATGTGTAGTAATGGATAGTGATGTGTAGTGGTGGACAGTGATGTGTAGAGACGGATAGAGATGTGTAGTAATGGATAGTGATGTGTGATGATGGATAATGATGTGTAGTAATGGATAGTGATGTGTAGTGGTGGACAGTGATGTGTAGTGATGGATAGTGATGTGTAAAGATGGATAGTGATGTGTAGTGATGGACAGTGATGTGTAGTGATGGACAGTGATGTGTGGTGGACAGTGATGTGTAGTGATGGATAGTGATGTGTAGTGATGGACAGTGATGTGTAGTGATGGACAGTGATGTGTGGTGATGGACAGTGATGTGTAGTGATGGATAGTGATGGGTAGTGATGGACAGTAGTAGTAGTAGTAGTAGTAGTAGTAGTAGTAGTAGTATATCTTTGCTGCGCCTTACTCTCCAAAGGGAGGCATCGGTCTAGTTCCAATAAACGTTTTTTCAACTAAAAGAAATTTAATAAAAGAAAGAAATATGAGCGGAAACAACAAAATTACACGGCATATACTATTTCGATAATAATTATTCTATAATTTAATTACCTAATTAATTGGATTTTTGACTCAGGAACTGTTTTCGTTTTTGAAACATTTTTAGATGGGCATATTTGGCTATAATATGAGAAGTTTTGTCATTGTCCAATCTGAGCAAATATAATGTTCTATCATGATCTGTTAAATTGATGAAGGTTGCATCATTTTCAGAAATATGAAGATAAAGTTTGCTGTCTAAGACTCTCGTATTCAGTACAATCAATAAAGAAATGTTTCTTGTCTTCTATGCAGTTTCTTTTGCAAACCAAACAAAGCCTTTCCTCTACTGGTATAGAAGCTCCTTTGTTTTCATATTTTCCTGTTTGTATACGTAATGTAGGAAATGCCAATCGCAGTTTAGTCATACTGATTCTATGAGCTGGATTTCTAACTATCTTTAGGTATTCTTCCAAGCGATAATCTTTTTTAATTTCCTTGTTTGTATATTTCAGTCTACAGCTATCCGAAATGTCGTTTTGAGCTTTAAACCAATCTTGAGAAAATTTTTTCTGCAGCTGTTGTTTAATGCTAGAACGAGTGTCAGGGGCGGATCCAGGATATTTTTTAGGAGGGGGTGCACTCGTCTCTTGCTCTACTTCAACACCAATAAACTGCATAGTTTTTTTTTTCGCAGAATACCAGTTGTATTAGAAAACCGCAGGTCATCTCGGGGGGGGGGTGCACACCCCGTGCACCCTCCCCCTAGATCCGCCCCTGAGTGTTCTTAACACATTGCTGGTTTTTTATTACCTCGTTTTTGTAGTGCATTCAGGGTATTGTTTCGTCACTATGTAATAAATCATAAAACTGACTGTGATTTCTTGCGTAAATAAAAGCTTCATTTAAGAGAGGGTTGTCCGATTTTTGTTCTAATCTTTGTCAGTAACATAAAAGGGAGGCCTATATGTCTATACATAGAGCAGATAGAGGGTATCGGCCAAGTTCTGTTCTACAGGCTTTGTTTTCTGTGTAACATGGGACGTTTAGTGTTTGTTTACAGAATTTAATGTGAACTTGCTCAATTGTACTTTTATCAAAATGTGTCTTATAAGATAATGGTTCTGGTCCCCATATTTCACAACCGTAAAGTAGTACAGGTTTAACAAGGGCATCGAAAAGTTTATTCCTTGGCTCGACCGCTGAAGAATCAATGTTGGAGAGTAATCGTTTAATTGTGAAGACAATTTTGGTAGCCTTTTTATGTATCGGTCAAATCGAAGGTTCAACATGCCCCCCCCCCCCCGAGCATACCCCAGCCATTTGACACCTTTGCCGTCCCGGGGAGGAGGGAATTTGGTTATCAGAGTCTTCCAGGGGGTGGGGAATTTGATCCCCATGCTTTAGGGGTGGGGAATTTGAACTACACCCTCGATTTCATGCAAAATCTTTGGCGTGGCGAGCTATCATGGGGGACGCGGTGTTAGAGGATTTTCGTGGAAAAGATTGTGCCTTTGTGCCAATTGGTTACGAGGAAAGGGCTTAAACAAGCTTTCTGCCGTATTTGAAGTATTCAAATTTTAAAATTGTTAATATTGGATTCAGGCTTAGAATGTATGAATGTATTTTATTGTTGTGTTTACAATGAAATACAATACCTATACCGGCGATTCAATACACCAACATAAAATAAAATAAAATAAAATAAAAAGCTCAGTTCAACTACTTTGACCTACTGCAAGTATGTTAATTAATAAGGTGAGCGATGAGGCATGGTCACGATGTAGTAATCTCAGTCGGTGGGATATATTTTTATAGAACGCTTTGTATGTTTAATGACGAAGAAAAGCTCAGCATTCAGTGACCTTGTAGCAGCGATTGCCGCCGCTTTGCACGAGACTTTTGTTCGTAGTAAATACGCTAACAGTCTTTCTCAGTTTTTGTTATATTTCTAAAGATTTTGTTCGACAACTGAAGGCGTTTCCGCCGTCCTTTCGTCATTTTTGTGCCTGTGAAATGTCCCCGGGGTGGGGTACCTACCCCGGAGTTTGAACAATAATTTTCAAAAAAGTCAAATGCCCGGGGGGTTGCCCGGGGGGGGGGATGTTGAAGCTTCGATTTGACCGATACATTACCAAGAATTTCCCTTGCATAGGTAGACTAGTGATGTGTAGTGATGGGTATTGATGAGCGGTAGTGATATGTAGTGATATGTAGTGATGTTTAGTGATGGCCAGTGATAGGTGGTGTTGGGTAGTGGTGTGTTGTGATGGGTATAGCCTGAGTACCCATCTTTCCCCTTTTCCCCCGAAACGCCTGATTATGTTTTAGTTATGTTGAGTGACACATAGTTACGTGTTACATGAAGATATTTTTGTTGGATTTTTTTGTAGATGCACTTCCAATAATCAAGATGTCCGACTGGCTCAGTCGGTCGGGCTTTACACAGATTTGTGTTATACGTGGAACTGTCTCATTGCCCGGTGCGGGTAATGGGGCAGGTGAGCTACAACTCTGGTATCATGAGAAGAAAAACCAGTATCTCATTTATGCCCTCAAGACAACGGGAGATGACGAGTTGGTATGTAAGTCATTGATGTTTTACTCTTTCACATCCAGTTTCAAGAGTGCAGTGACAAAATCAAATCGTCATTAACAAAGAAGTCGAAATTTCATTTCGTCCAATACTTAACACAAATAGTATCATGTGAGAGTACTGGTAAAGTGGTTTCACCCAGGTGCTCAAGAGTAAGAACTAAAATAATTTTATAGATTCATAATTGACTCTGGGAGTGATAGGGTTTTAAATACGGTCAGTGTTAAACAAAGACTGCGGACTGCGGACTGCAGACTGCGGACCAGGGGTAAAATGCAGACTGTCTGTAAAATGAAGACTGCAGACTGAGGGTAAAACGCAGACTGGGGTAAAATGCAGACCGAGCATAAACTGTAGTCGTGGAAGGGTTTAAGGGCAGAAAAATCCCGCAAAATACATATAAATGAACACTTACTTGACGACAGCATCTGCTTTTACAAATCCATTCCTTTCTTCTCTGGAACGTCATTGACGACCCGAAAACATAATAGCAATCTTGAACCTTTTTTTCCATCCGAGAGACTTCACGCTTCACGCGTTTTCGATATACATGACCAGGGACCATGAATTGGTGCAACACCACGATGCTTACACTTAAATGAAAGCTGCTGGCCCAAAATACTGTACAGGAAGAATATGGCGACAAAAAAGGGAGTAACTGCAGGAAGTCTGGATGACCTTCTATGAAAGTATTGCAAATCAAAGTACACAGACTTAAGCTGTTCGGATGTTCATTGAAACTTCTTGCAAATGTGCAATGCACTTTGACTAGGAAGCGAAGTATGTAACTGATACAGTACCGGCTAGCTATTTCACCGATTTGGAGAAGAAGGAGCACAAATGTTTAAAAATGTCTACAGTCTTTATTTTGCATTTTGCACCCAGCCTGCGTTTTACTCTCAGTCTGCAGTCTGCATTTTACACTCAGTCTGCCTTTCACCACTGGTCCGCAGTCTGCAGTCTGCAGTCTGCAGTCCACAGTCTGCGTTTTACACTGGCTGGTTTAAAATATGCAACCTCTCACGCGAAAACGTACACTAACGGTTTTGTGTTAAACGGGCCAAAACAATGGCTAACCAACGGGTAGCTAACGGTTTCTCCAATGGCTTTAACTGCTCTCTCAACGCTTTCAATGGGTGTGCAAAAACTTTCAACGGCTTGTAACTTTTTCCAAATGGTTTGTGATGATTTTTCCAATGCCTTTTCATAGCGCTTTCAACGGGTTGACTAACGGCTTAATTTTTTTCAACAGTTAAAGGTTTTTAACGGCTTCTTCATGATTTCCAATGCTTTTCAACACTTTCAACATTTTACAATGCACTTGTATAATATTAATTTTCAACACTTCCCGAACAAGGAGCTGAACAGCTTTAATTTTAAAAGGTTAATTTAATAGCCACAAGAAAAAAGCTTAAGTCTTAAACAGAGGTAAAAGAAAATCATTTCATGGTAAACTGCATATCTGTGATCAAATCCTGTCAGAAAACATCTGCAGAAACATAAACCATAGGAATTGATTGCTCAATATGCATGGAACAGACCAGCTTCCTAACCTCTAAAAACGAGACTCAAAGCAACAAAAAAAATTGCTCAGTCGTAGTGTAGGCAATTAAAGAGAGCAAGAAAAACCTCTGTTGTTCAAGCTGACTCTACAGTCATGTTTCGCACTATCACAAGCTCAATCTCTCTTGTCACGAGCTACTAGTCGTTTTTGGCCTTTCAACACTTGATTAAAATTGTACTAATCACAAAAGTTTACAACACTTGACCAGTTAGCCTCAGTATCTACACCATTGATCAAAGTTTTGCCTATTTCTCTACTACTGAGGTATTCACTTGTTCCAAAGTAATCAACACTTTCAATCGATAGAATTTGCGGACCAATCTATTCCGGAAAAGCTCTAAATCTTTATCATTAATCTTTCCTAAGCTTCCTTCAGAAAACATGCGTTGCTCCAGTCGTGCCGCTATAATATTCTTATCCGCAGTTGCCATGGTCTCTGCTATTGTTCAACCCTGGGACCATGACTCCCATTTTGTGGACTGAATACAAAGCAAAAAATGGCTTGCAGATTCTGAGTCTCCAATCGAGACTAACTAGAATGGGAATGAATAACTGAAAGGTTAATTTATTTTTCTAGTTTTAAAATCGACAATCTATCTCCTTCATACAGTGATACACTGCTAATAATTAATTGATATACTATTAATAATTATCAAACAAAGACCTCTATATGCAAGGAAAAGCTATAAACATTGGACACTGTTTGAAGATGAACTAGACAACAGAAGGTGTATACTGGGCTGCCATAAAACCTAGACTAGATAGAAATTGTGCATTGTATGAAAACAATTAAGTTTACAACAACAGGCAGCACTGACAGCATATGAAAGGAAGAAGTTATAAATTACCCTGCTAAACCCATTCCTATCCCATACACCACCCCAACCCACGGGTCTCATTAAACTGTTTGAACTGAGACTATAAATAGATGATTGAAAGTTCCAATGTTATTGATGGTCAATACAAAAAAAGCTAGGTGGGTATACCATGTGGCACAAAATTTTTGAGGGAGTTTATTTTTGTGGATTGGTAATTTTTCTGTTTTGTGGAAACTACTTTTTGCAATTAGGACACACTGGCTTTTCCTGCTGAGGATTAATTTTTGTGATTTTCAAAAAGTACCCAGTACCTTCCCTGCTATATGCAATAGAATGTAGCAGAGGTCTCTCACAACAAGGCAAAAATGAGAGAAAAAATGAGAGACCTCTGCTAGCTGGGAAACAGCACCCAGCATTGATATAATTTTTGTTCTTGCTATTTTTGCAATCAGGGTGCAATAGAAATACCCTATTTCCTTGAATAATAGCTGTCCCTCGATTAATTGCCTTCCTCGAATAACCGCCCCCTTATACAGAAATATTTAAAATAATTGCCTCTCTCGAATAAATCGCTCCCTTTTTGTGCGAAAAAATTATAATTATCCCCAGCTATTATTTGAGGAAATACACGGTACATATTTCAAAGAGTACTACGGGTAATGGGGACCTTGTGTAAAACCAGTAATTCATTGTATACTGTTTTGTTTCTGAATGAAAGACGCAAGTTGTGATTGAACAGACACAATTTCTTAGGACTGTATTTTTGTCTAGCAAATTTAAGTTAGAGTATGTTTACTCAGGAGTAAATTTTGCTGGAAAAATGTTTGTGGTAATTTTTTTGGCGGGAACTTATTTTTGCAGATCGCTGGAAAAATCGCAAAAATTACATGTGCCACACGGTATCTCTTGTTTATCTAAACTTTGTTTGTTTTGTTGTCAGCTTGTCGTCATTTTTGCGGAAAGAAATTAAAAAAATTGTCCCGTTCGTAGGAGAAAGGCTTCAGCGCATCTGAAATTTTCTGTAATCGTGTGCAATACCATTGAGCTTAGTTAGAGCAGCCAAACAGAGATAAATTGTCTTAAACCAAATTGGTTCGATGGGGACAGAGTTTTTAAGCCGGGAAAAGGTTTTTTTAGTTACATTGTTAGTAGTATTTTATAAGGTTTGATTTCAATCACTCAAACCGACCAGATTAAAATGAACTCATTCAAGGTTTTGAACAATAATTGGTGGGGGGAGGTGGGACACGAAAGGGGGTTCCTTTTTTAGGCTTCAGGTATAAAAAAGGGGGAGATTTCCCTACCTGATGTATATTAAAGGTAGGGAAATGCAACATTTCAGTCTGTAAAAAGGCCCAAAGATCATAACTTTGAGTCGCTTGGAGCTCCTTAGAGTGTACTCTGCTGAAGTCCGCTGCCTATTCTACGCATACTCTTATATCTTGCACACGTGCTGAACACGCCAGAGTGTTATTTGTGTCAGAAGAAAAAACCAAGCCCATTTTATAACTTGGCTGTGCCACAGGCAGCCCAGTAATAAAAAAGAATTCCTCTCTTTATCGCAGAAAACATACAATGTAATTTATTCTTCTACATAGAAGTATATTGGAACAACATTTTTGAAGAAAATATTCTCTTCAGGGCCTGGGGCCCAACCAAGTTAGATAACAGAGAATTCCAGGGTGTGGGGTGTTTGATAGGAACTCCTAAAATGGAAATTATAGCAGTGTGGGTGGTGTAAAGCAAAAGTGCCCTCCATAGAGGGGGTGGGGGGTGAGGGTATGGATGTTTTCTGGAACTACACATTATAGTCAGAGTTTACTTTACTTTAAGTTGTGAGTCAGGCAAGAAATAACCCTTGTTTGTAATATGTTTTCATGGTAAAAATAATATAGTATTATGAAGTCTTAAGTTTGCATTTTTACTAATTTTTTTGCAATATTATTTCAACTCAATTGCTTTAAATGTCAGAAAGTAGGTAAATTAATTCCCTGAAATTGATTTCTTGGGATGGAACCCATTAGTTTAGTAGGATAAAGAAAAAGTTATCCATCTGTGATGTGTTTATGTCCTCCATAAAGTGTCCGCTGACAGAGGGAATTTTATGTGGCCTTTATGCAGTGATGTCAAAAAAATGTACAAAATTTAAAGCGTGCTGTATTTGCAGACTTCTTGTTTTGCCTAGTAGATGTATTGCTTTGTTGTTGTCTTTGTTACTGTTGCTGTTGTTGTTGCTACAGCTCCCTATTTTGATTTGAAGGGGAGCATGCAGTGTCATGACATAATTATGGAAAAATACAAAATGTGTAAATTTGTATTATGTGAAACTAGTGTACTGGTTATTATGAAAGAGTTCCTGTTTTGTTAAGAGGTACTTTTTACACATACATGTACAGTGTAAAGTGCAATGAAACTTTCATCATTGAATAAAGACATGAATAAAGAAAAATTATGAATATTTTGATATTTGAAAACTCAGTGAGGCTAATATTATGATGACAGCTTGAATCATTATTGCATCTTGACCAATTATATTGCTAAAAAAATATTTTGTTCTTTTCTTTTTTTCCATTTGTAATAAATGGAGTCAGGAATTTGCGTTTAGGAGGGTACATAATGCATCCATAAAGGTCTTTTATTCTTGTCAATTTATGTGATTTTTCTAGAACAAGATTTTAATAGATCAATCGAAAATTTACATGTATGGTACAAAGATTTACAACAAGTTTAGAAAGTTAGAAAGGATGGTACATGTTTCACAGCTACGTAGCAGATACATTTAAGAGTCAAGTTTGTTTAATTAAAAAGTAGATGTTTTTAAATAATTACTGTGACTTAATCTTATGGATCAAATTGGCCAATGGCATATTTTTTATTTTTATTGAAACCACAGATTTCACAGTTTTTTACAAATTTTTTAAACACTACAATCTGTCACCATTTAGGCGTTAATGTACCATTCACAGGGTGCAACAAAAGTGCTATCTGATAGCCCAGGGCTAGTGAAGCAACTCTGGGGTGTCCTGTGAGTATAAAGCAGCATTAAATTTTGCCAAGATAAAGAGTAATCTAACATGCTACAGAAAAGGTTTTGGTTGACCAGCATGAACGCTGTAATGTGGCTACTAAACTTCAGAAACAGCTTACCCAAAGGGCAAATGAGTTTTGATTTTTATCTCACCCTAACAAAGGAGCTGTGACATTAAGCAATAGTAAGGGCGGATTTAGGAGTGGGCAAATACTCTGTAAGCTTTCCTTGGGTTTCTGAGCCTGAAATTGAAGTAGCAGTGACAAAAACAAACTGCATGTACACTGCTAGTTAAAAGTAGTTCAAGAAACTTCCTCCAAGGCTCTTCATGGCTTGCTGTCATCTCTTTCTAAGCCACTGTATGACTTTGTCATTTTTCTTTTTTCAAAATGTGGGTATGATTGCAGGTCATGTTTTTACTATAAAGTCCTATTTCATTATACAGTACCAGTATGAAAATCAACTCGTTTTGGGATCTGAATATTATTTATCGAGGTCCCCAAAGTCAGCAGCCTATGTTATTTATACTATATATGGGTACTTTAATTTTTGTTTCTGTTCATATCATTCTCACAGTTCCCTTTCCCTGTTTGTTTGGTGAAGCTAAGCTCTGTTAGGCGGGGTTAGTACTGGGTTAGGTGACACCTTTTGGGATATTAATATACCGTATTTATTCGATTAACCGCCCTGGGCGCTTACTAAATTTTTGGACCTTGAGGGTGGGCGCTTTATTCGAGGCTGGGCGCTTATTAAATTTTCACCATTTTCAGCAAGTGTGGTATGTTTATTTTGCAACAAAACAACAAATGCTGGTAATAACAAAACGTGAATCATGTAACAAAGCAAGGTTTCCATACAAATGCTCTGTGAAGAAAACTCTGTCTTCGGGGAAGTCTCAGTCTTATTAGAACTTATTCAATTTCAATCTCACTGTCACTCAAGTGGGTGGGGTGGGCGCTTTATCGAGGTGGGCGCTAATTCGAGGTTGGGAGCTTATTCGAATAAATACGGTACGGTACTTTGACTTAAAGTTAATTTTTCAAAAGAAAGTAGTTTCATTTTTTAAACATGCCTATAAAATAGAGTATATTGTTCCATGTAAAAGTTTTAGAGGGAGAAGAAATTGCAAAGGACTTTCTTTGATCATATGAGTGCGTTATTGTAAGTAGTTAGGGGAAGTGGTGAACTAGAGCTGACCTGATTTTATAGTCTTACTTTTTATATCATTTGGCTTGTTTATAGCCTGTGGTAAAGCCTGCCAACATATCTTGTTTGTAGATTACCACAGATATAGTTGGTTTAAAGACGGTTAAAATTGTCTGTGGTGAGGCCTACATGTAGCTTGTTTATAGTACAGTATTGTTGTAAAGTGCAATGAACTCAACCAGAGTCCCGGAAAAATGTGCACATAATCTTTGTATTTATTACCTCTTTTGAAGGGAAAAGTGACCTCTGTTCATAGGAAAGAGACACTTTTTCTGGGTCCGGAAACCTGGGACCATTTTCACCTCCATTATTTCAGGAGACACCTCGGCACTCAAAAGGTGACTGACCACAAAGAGGACTGATATCTTTAAGTACACACTAATCAAAAATGGAAGCTTTCACGAAATGAACTATGTCACATAAATCAATGAAATGCACTTTTGTGAATTCAACATATAACAACCGTGACGGTGACAGCCACGAAAACGTCACTTAAAAAGTGAACTTCCATTCTTTCAATCTCTATTGCAATTACTCCAACTCATTTACTTTGCCAATTGCAAGCAAAGTCTTTTTGAGCTGAATTCCTAACAATCATATTCAAGTTCAGGAAGAAAAAGAAAGTTTAGCCGTCGCTTGTTTACGTCCTCCATAAAACGTGAAATTTGGCATTTTCCTGTCCTAGTCGTGCAGTGATGGCAACAAAATGTACAAAAAAGCGTGATGCACGTGCAGAGTTGTTGCTTTCCCTATTCATTTCAACCTACTGCTTTTTTGATGTTCTCCTTGTCGTCACCGTTGTGGCATCTTAAAGTCCCTAATGATGATTTTTTAATGCTGTCTTTGTTAGTTAATTATTAACAAACTCCAGCCCAACCTCTAATCAGGGGGAACCTCTATTAACGGGACTCTTGCTTTGGTCCTGAGGGTGTCCCCTGAATAGAGGTTTCATTGTATTTGTTTTATCTATTGCTTCAAGTTTAATGTTTTTGTTTTCACACCTCACTTAATAACTTTCTGTGCGTTGCACTGTGAGCCTGTCGACTTTCTTAAGCGGTATTATTAGTCTTTGATACCTAAGACTTTTTTATGCGCCATTTCTTGCATACTGTACGCTACGACAATGGCCGCTATTGTTAAGTGAAATTTACACTGTGTTATAAAGTTTTTCTTCAGGTATTATTAAGTCAATCCGATAACGATTTTGTTAAGTGAAATTTACACTGTGTTATAAAGTTTTTCTTCAGGTATTATTAAGTCAATCCGATAACGATTTTTTTGTGTGTCTTGCATAAAGATATTTATCATCTTAACTGAGTTTTTTACCACTTATTATCTCCCTTTGTTCAAATTGTAATCTTTCATTTACTGTTGGGGAGAGAAGATGTTGCCTGGCTTGCTCATGGTAGGGAATTAAGGGAGATGTGGTGTTGCCCTCTACCTAAAGGTCTGGGGACGAGCCAGGGACCACATGGTCTAGTGTATACTGGGCAGACCTCATAGGGATTGGCTGGGAAAACAATGAACAAACAAAGTAACAATGGAACCTAGCCCGAAACAAAAGAGCTGCGACATATAGGAATCCAAACAAATTAGATGTTCTAAAGAGCTGCAAGGCTACTGTTATGACAAATGATTTTGAGCTGAACATATTGAACAAATTTTGCTGTTTACAACTGATGGCGCACCTGTTTATAATGCTACTAGTGAAATCTCGTTTCAATTGACTGTGAAAATAGTTGTATTCAGTTGTTATTTTACGGTACAGTAAACACCCGCGGCAGGCCGCTAATAAAGTGGTTCGTGTATTTTGGGGTACTTCAGTATTGGCAATTTAGGCTAAGTAGGTTCATAATTAGGTTCGTAATTTTTATGAAGGAGATAATAGAGTTGATTATCGATTACCAGAAAAATAAATAAGCTTTGTATTTATTCAAAATTGTGTTATTATAACCCTAACAAAACTGATTACCGAATTAATATATTGTTTAGTACAGTATGTTTTTCTTGTACTAAAATGTACAGCTCAAAGTTACCGTAAAATTCCGAATATAAGCCCCGGGGCTTATATTTTTCAAAGGCCGTTTTTGAGGGGCTTATTTTTGGAGGGGCTAATATTCGGAGGGGCCTATCTACGGAAGGAAATTTGCTTTTCAAAATCGATTGGGCTGACCTTATAGTTTAAAGGAAATTTTCTGTTTTTGCTTTGTTTTGCTTTGCATTAGTATTTGAGGGCAATTTCCAAGTACTAGCCCCCCGGGGGGGGGCTTATATTTGGAGGGACGATTTAACGGAGGATTTTTTGCTTTACGAGTTTGGGGGGGCTTATATTTGGAGGGGCTTATACACGGGGGGGGCCTATTTTCGGAATTTTACGGTACACTCCTTTGCTAAATTGTCTGTAAGCCAGATATAAGAACCTGCTTGATCTTGCTTGGGTATTTTTGGGTATTAAGGTGACATTCTGCTAGGAGGTTCTTAATCCACCGGTTTGTAGTAGTGGTTGTTTACTGTAACTGTCTCTGTAGTGAAACCAGTCAAACCTGTATTAAGCGGACCTCTATAAGCGGTCACCAATTAAAGTCCTGCAAATAGTTTCCCTTAATTATAAAAACTGATCTATATTTAGCAATTACCTCTATTAAGGGGCCGTAGTCACCTGTTTTCGAGGTGCCAATGAGTAATTTGTTATTTAACAGTTAATGAATGAGGCTGAGTATCTTATGAAGAATTATGGAGATCGAGGAGGGTGTTATCCGTCGAGGCCGTAGGCCGAGGCGGATAACACCTCCGAGATCTCCATAATTCTCCATATGATACAAAAACCGAATTCAATAACTGTTTTATTATTCATTCAAAATAATTCCCAGTTTAAAAACACAGCTAAAACATACTTACCTCCATCGATCCATCGATGTTCAGTTCATCTTCGATACTGTACGTTTAGGTTTGTCCAGCTCCGCAAATATTCTCCAAATAGCAGATGTCGCTCTTCGAGTTGTCTTCTTGCTGTTCTTGCCATGTTTGTAGCTATTTTTTCGCCTAGTTCTTACTCTTGAAACGAGTGAAATGTCCGCCATTTTTTCAATTTCACAACCAAAACAACTCAACCTCGTCCCCAGGTCTTCTCGGTTAACGGTGCCTTAACCTGCGAAAACGCTGCATTTTTGACGTCATTTCCTCGTTAAAGTCGAAATTCTTCCAAATCTGGTCATCAGTAACTGGTTATGGTGAATTAAACGTGTGCTTTTAGCCAATCAGAATCGGGGAAATATTTTGAATGAATAATAATTTCTTTTATCACCTCTATTAAACTGTCCCTTTGACAAGATGTGCCATACTAGTGCAAAATGATACACTGTGTAGGGCGTTGATTGTTCCTCTATAGACTTGCCAACGGCCCCCAAGAGCAAGAAATGTAAGAAAGTAGTTAGAAATGGGTAGAACGTCGTGAGATGTCCCAAAGAGATTCGGGCATCTCACGACAGCATCGGTGGTAATTTTAATACTGAAAGATAACAACTAAACCACATTTTGGTACCTTAGGCCGGGTCAACAAAGATGCTCCTGAAACGACAAATTTAAAAGCTGGAAAGGATAGATCTTTTTGGGTTTTTTTTGGTCCGTACATTAAGTTGAGGACCGAAAATTTACCAATCGTAGAACAAGAAATATAAGTTATGGTGAAAAAAAAATAATGAAAATATAAATAAGAACGTTCTTGACAAATGATTTTGAGAGGAATATATTGAACACTTTTTGCTGTAAGTGGGGGCATAACTGTTTATCCTGTAGCAAGTGAGATCCCAGTGAAATGGGGTGAAATAGTTGTGTTCAGTTGTTATTTTACAAAAACGGCCATTATCTTTCCTTACCGTTTCAGTTTAACATTCTGCCTGAAACTACAATGAGGGTCACGGAGGGTACATTTACGATTAGTTATAGTGGACATTGTCAGCTCAAACTAAAAGATCCTGATCCAAATGAACTTCAGCTGTTTATTGACAAGATGCCCGCCTCTATCAAAGGTAAGAGTGTGAAATGTAATTTTTCAAAACTTTGTTTGGTTTTGGTTTTAGAATAAAGAGGTACATGGTTGAACCTCTGTACAAATGCATGGAAATAGGCAGATCGAGATTAATATGGTGAGAGTAGCTATAGTTATTTTCGTTTTGCTTTTTAGATAAAAAGAGGAATGTTAAGGTTACACTTACTGTATGTACGTAAGTTTAGAAACAGGGAGCTCAAGCTTATGGCGAGAGTAGTTAGTTTGTTGTTTTTGAATTGAGAAACATATGGTTAAACCTGTACTTTTGTATGGATAGCTGGACGTAGATATTTAAAACTGAATTGATGAGTGAAATATCCAGACCTTTTTTATAAACATTAACGCTTATGAATTTGGTCAACCGGAATCCTCGCGTCAAAACATTTTTCTTTTTTAACAGCGTCAAAGGGTGGAAGACTACTAGAACACCATTTATCTGCTTAAAAGCGTCAACGCTTGTTGAACACGATATCGGGCTGGCCCCAATTCTAGTGCTTAGCAGTCAACAAATCACATCATATTTAAGACTATAAAATGAAAGCTTAGAGTAAAACATTAGTCTGTAATTCAGATATCAACTAAAGCGAACCTCTCCCTCGCCCAGGAGCCGGTTCTACCGCCAAAATTTCCTCTGAGACCCTGACTCGTTCCCAGTCTTCTCTTATCATTTGTAAGCGGTCCCGGAGTCGTCCCGGAATAATCACGGGCGAGAGCCAGAGACTATAACGGCATCTCCCCAGCGCTTCTCTCGTTTAAAAAACAGGAGACTAAGAGATGACTGGGAATGAGTCAGCCTGAGACCCGCCAAAGCAAAGATCAGCCCAATTGCGTTATACACGGGATAGAGGGGCGCTTTCCATTCAACAAAGATTCCGGTTCGAAATTTCGGAAACTTCACGCGCTCAATGGAACGATACATTCCGGTTGCACAGACCCGACCCAAGCCACCGCGCGTTTTGTTGTAGTGGCTTCGCAGCACACTCATATTACGTTCTAAAAGAGAAAAGTAAATACTGTTTATATCCTAAAGAACACTCGACTTTCGAAAAGGGGCGGTGGAAAACTAAAGGCGGAGGAATCCTATTTCGTGTAGAAAGCCTATGAATGCAAGTGAAGGTAAAAAATTCTTGTGAATTGAAGCGATACGTTTCTGGAATATTTGAACGATTCGAAGCAATTCCTGGAACTGTACGGTAAATAAATTCGGTGTTTTAGCCAATTTGTATTCAGCCAGGCTTTGTTGTATTCATTTCAGCTTAATTGATAAATTGCTTTAGTTAAATATCGTCGACACGTTTCAGACAAGTAATACGCTGATTCTCACAGACTTTTATACAATTGTGGCTTGCTTACACACACTCTTTTTCACCTACGTGTCGTGTTGCGTCAGTTATTTGACACTGTTAATGGCAAATATCAAAAATCGAAAACAATTGCAACTGATTCAAACTATTTGAGATGTCATGGCTTTACTCACAGTACTTGACTTTCCACTGGAAACTACTTGTTCTTGTAAGAAGGATAGAAAAGAGCGGTACTGGGGACAACAATTTGGCAAATGGAAAGGGACATTTCGGTCCGACCGACCGAAATGACCAGACCGGTCACAGTGGACCACCTTCAAAGCTGGTCCCGAATATTCCGGTCGGACCAAACCGAAATGGTCCGTTCCATTTGATGAACCAACCGAAATTTCCGGACTTTTGGGTTCGATGGAAAGCGCCCGAGATTTATCCAGCGGATAACGCTATCCATCGATTGAACAACCCCTGCTTGGTTCTTACAGCCTTGTGCGCTTGTTATCGTTATACAATATATTCGAAGAAACCACTGCCCGGAGTCGACCGTAGGTTGGATGTTATAGCGCGCAGGCGTCAGCAACGCGGTTATAGAGTCCCGATTTATATCTAAGTTTTATCTAGGTTATGAGTTTTGCATCGCAGGATATAGATTCACGATTCATTTTTTTCAGTCTGCGTAAGAAGAACATAATTCTCTGTTTTTAGACACTCCCTAGCATATGTGCCTTATACCTTGTGATAAAGAATGCAACAGATTACGGCCAGTATGTAGTCCCGGACAATAAGTTTTATCTAGGTTCTGTCTAGGGTTTGAGACTGAGAAACGTTCTGCTTCACTGAATGATAGGATATAGATTTGCAACTCGTTTTTTCAATCAGTGTTAAAAGGACGCCCCTTATGTGTCTTGTAATAAAGAATGCAACACGTTTTTCTTGGATACTTTTCAGTGGTGATTCGTATTAGACGATGAAGTATATCAATGAATCGATAGGAAATCGCAGTTGACAACTTGACCTGTGTGAAAGCTTATATGTTTTACTAAAGTTCTGTTTATAGTTAAAGAATTTAGTCACAGTTTACATTTTGTCACATATTCCTTTAGTATAAAGTTTTTTGCCATTTGAGTTACATTTCGCGATAGAAAGTTATTGCATTTTGTGTTAAAGAGTTGTTGCATTACGATTTGATGTTACATTTGCTTCACATGTTGTTACATTTTGCGCCATAAACTTCGTCTCTTCCCACCCCCACCGACTATAACGAGCAGTCCAACATTGTTTTTTGTGTTTTCTTTAGGCCAAGGCTAAACGTCGAACTTTTCATGAGATGAACCAAACTTAGTGAGTTAAGTTCATGAAAGGTTCAACGTCTCGCTCAGTTAAGTTCATGTGAATGAGTTTGGATCGTCCAGCACGTTCTATCCCAACGGTCTGCTTTCAATTTGTGTTTCCGTAAATGTCTTTAAATTTTCCGCGTAATTTTAATTTCGGACTGGATCGTGTCGAAACGTTTTTATATGAAATCGACTGATGTATCTATATGCCCAGTAACATTTATTAAGATACATTTGAATGAGAACTCATTCAGAGAAGGAGCTATGTTCTTGAACACACACTTCAATATTTTGTGTCGGGGCGAAACGGAATTCTGAATTTCATCGTCTTCATCAATGTCTCGTTTATGCTCATGTGTCGCTCAGTTTCAAGAGAGAAATGCTGTGCACATAAAAAAAGTAAATAAAGTCAAAATTTTTAAGTTTTCTTTTTTATCTGACACTTAATCATTTCGCCCATGTTACATGGGTGATTTTGATTGCCTTGTTTTGTTTTTGTCATAAATTATCTTTTCAGAAAAAATGCAAGATCTACGCGAAGCAAACTCGCCAAGCCGAATCTCAGAATTAGAGAGACAGTTGAGGGATTTTCAGCAACGTGAAGGAAACTTCCTGAGACAGTTACGGGAGATGCAGGAACGCGAAGAGAATTTACAAAGGCAGCTCAGAGCAGTTCAAGAACGGGATCAGTACTCTCAACGCCAGCTAACGGAGTTTCAGCAGCGTGAACAAAATATGCAGCGGCTGTTGAGAGAGCTTCAGGAACGAGAACAAAATTCTCAAAGGCAGTTAACGGAGTTTCAACAACGTGAAGAAAATTCTCAGAGGCAGCTAACGGAGTTTCAACAACGTGAACAAAATTTTCAGAGACAGCTGACGGAGTTTCAACAACGTGGAGAACATTCTCAGAGGCAGCTGAGGGAGTTGCAGCGGCAACTGAGGGAGATAGGACAGCAGTTGACCAATTGCCGAGGACAAGTTTCTGAACTACAGTTAAGTCTTTCAACAGCTCAGCAAACAATAAATCAATTGCGGAACCAGGGAGCACGTGACTGGGTTATTCCCCGTGACGAAATTCAAATCACAGAAAAATGCCTTGGGAAGGGAGGTTGGGGAATTGTCAATGAGGGAACCTATTGTGGCTGTACTGTAGCAGTGAAAGAAATCCATGAGTTGATTCTCTCCCCTCATAACATACGTCTTTTTGAGAGAGAAATGAATATTGCATCCAAATGTCGCCATCCTCACTTACTACAGTTTATCGGCGCCACAGTTGACGAGGGAAGTCCTCTGTTTGTGACCGAGTTGATGGAGAAAAGTTTGCGGACTCTGTTAGAACAGCGGCAATTGTCCGAAACAGAAATACGCACCATTTCTTTCGATTTAGCCTGCGCACTGAACTATCTTCACCAGAAGAAACCAGAACCCATAATTCACCGGGATGTCAGCAGTGCTAATGTGTTGCTATGGCGACAGGATGACCAATGGAGGGCCAAAGTGTCAGATTATGGCACTGCTAATTTTATACAGCAGACCATGACAGTGGCTCCTGGAGCTATGATTTACAGCGCACCTGAAGCACTTGCATCAAAACAAACAGTAAAGGTAAGTATTAGTGAACATTCAAGACTTTTGACTTACTAAAATTGTACAGCAATGCTAACAGTGGCAGAAGTGAAAGTAACCCTTGTCCTTTCGGCCAAACTGGCCATCTTGTCACTCCACAAACAATACAACATTCTGGAACTGAAATGACCATATCGTTGTCAGGAGTGTTTGTACCTTGTTCTGCACTTTTTTTCACTCTTTTATGTTCTTTTTCATGCATTTTGTCCACGTAATTGGAGTTGTTAATTTATCTTTTCTCTAAAGACAACAGTTACAGGATGGCAAAAGTTAGTTTTTTTAGAAACAAAACATTTAAGCCAAGAACTTACCATGGTGCCTTTTAAGGATCTTCTGTTTTCTAGGCTTTTCTTATCCATTTATCGATAATCATCTATTTCGTCTGAATTCTCGAGATTCTCCCTCTGTTGTTACTTTAACTCTTTTTGTAATCGGTATACCACTAACAAGCAATGTAAATAAAGAATATTCTGGCATAAAGTCATGATTGTTTTTAGGTTGATGTCTACAGCTTTGGTGCTCTTCTCTGTGAAATGTGCATCCGGGAACTGCCAGATCCTACAAGGCGAGAAGAACAAGTCGTGCTGATAACGAACGCTGTGTTTCGCGACCTGGTACGGCGATGCCTGCAGAGAGAGCCTTGGACGAGACCAACCATGCAGGGAATAATCGATGAACTGAAAGATGCCAATGTATCATCTTAATTGTAGTACCAATGCTACACCATATCATTGCCCCCGCAGGGATTTCGCCCAGAAGGCGAAATCCCGAGGAAGCACTCTAGTAACTCGCGCGTATATTAAGGAAAGTACTTACAGTTGAAATATATAGTCATACAGTCAATATAGAAAAAAATCTCGATTTGCTTGAACAGGGGCCGCGAGGAATCGGTATGTAATGATGACGTTTCTATTATTTGCGCCCGCAAGTACGAAATGGTTTGGATGACGTAAAGACAGAAAATCCCGAAGGGATATTTTAAAAATGTCGAAGAACAAGTCATTCTACTTCAGAGCAAGGTTTGGAGCAATTTATGGTGCTTCTAAAACTAAAAAGTACCTTTTAAAGAATAGCACGATAGGCAATCGGCTTTTGTTTTAAGAATTAGCAAACGTTGAATTTACTTGTCCCGAAAATTCAAACTGGTGGCTCCTTCTACCTGATAGTAATTTATTTTTGAAATTCCAAAACAATTTCACAGCTGAATTCTGAGCGACTTTTAGTTACGGACTTCTGCTCCAACGATTTTTCTGAAATTCCTCTGGCATATTTATTATATCAATTAAAGCCGATACCATAAATTTCAGTAAAAAATATCAGCAAATTTTTTTACTAGACGCGATTTTCTTTGAACAGTAGGGTCCTTTTAAGCGCTAATTTCTCAAGAAATATTTACCATCAATGAAATCGGAATATTTCGTATTATTGCCGAATGATATATGTTGTTCTTTGCAAAGTTTCGCAGTCATCGCGTTAAGAACCAAAAAGTTATGACGGAAAATTTGTCACAGCAAAATGCTCTTGTATTAATTACGGAGCCACCTTAATATATAGATTTAGCCAGGGCTAAAAAGCGAAGCTCCCTTTAATAAATTTATAATTTAAATCAAACAATAAACTTGTACTCCACAAATCAGTTAACTTAAGGGCACATTCATGTGGCTTTTGAGGAAAAAGCTAAGTGATTTTAGAGTTAAACATGTCACATCGAGTTGACTTATATGTTCACCCAAAAATAGCAATCATCTTCGATCACATTCAAGAGCCATAACGGCTCTTGATCACAGTAGATTAGGCCTGGAAAACAAATCAGGCCGAATCTTTTGCGTTCGATAAGATTACTTTACAGAATCTTGCCAACAAATCTGGAGGTGTGTAAACCAACCTTTTATACTTTTTATACATCACATCTGAGGTGAAACAGTACTATGAGGCGCTGTATTTATCATACAGACCTCGGACAGAATGCAGTATTTCACTGTTTTTCAAGACAAATTGCACTCAGTCAATATTCTGGACGATCAATCGTTGGCTTTTACTGAGCGAAACCGTTCAAAAAATTTCCAAAATCACCTATACGGCCAGCCGGTTCTCACTTTTGACAAGCGGTCGAGTGTGTGAATGAACATTAATAGAGTTACGCTTCAACATAATAACGAATTTATCATGTTAATTTTTTTATCACGTTTTATTTAATGACTTTCCAACGATCTTGAAAAGCGTTTGATGCGCGCGACATTTTGAGTACTCCTGCAAGCGATGTTCATGAAAGACTGAAAACAAACGGCACAGCGATTAAAATTGCAAAAGAGACTTCTAACAATCAATAAAAGAAATATAATTCGGTGAAACATTTAAAGAGACAGAAATTTTCATTCACGAAGACAAGTATTAAAGTGTCTCTAAAAATCCTGAGTCTTTAAGTTTATGTTTTAAGCCGGCTTCCCGGTGTTTGCTTTTTTCAAAGATGAACTCGAGGCAAGAAAATCGCTCAAAGTTTTCTTTCTATAGGCAAATTTATAACTAAATATTCTTCGGAACGTTTTCTTTCTATTTGCGGTGAGAAAATATATCTAAAGGCTTTTTAAAGTTCTGCAAGCTTATATCAAACCTGATACTAGGTCAGATCATTGTCTCAAATCTTACAAACGTGCATAATTAACTTGCCGCATAAACTGTGCTCGACTTCATGAGGTTAGATATAAAGAAACAAACATCAGATACAATAATTACTCAGGCTTACCATTCGAGATGCAGCTCCTGAAAGCTATCAAGTAAGGCCTTTTAAACTCCTCTTACGTATCAAGCAAGGTGAAAAACGAAAACGATGCGATCCGAAATCGGATTTCCGACTTTGACAAGCGACGCATTTCTCAACCAAAAACCCAATAAACAAACCAGCCATGAATAACTGAAGACTCTTGATAGCAGCTGTGTTTCATTTTGTACATCCAGTGGAAAAAGACATTAAAAAACATTACAAGTTGACACAAAACTCTGTCAGCTTCAGCTGTCAAAGTAAACAAGTTTCAAGATGCTGCATAAATTTTCCGCATGAACTCACCTGTCAAATTTTGACCAATCAGAGCATAAAAATTGGACGTAGAGCGTGACCAACGCGTGACCATGGTAAGAAAAGGTCTTCCGCGCCTGTATTTTTAAATAACTGGCTGAATTTTCGTGTCCCAGGTAAGTTTGAAATCAAAATCTTAATAGTGCTGGGCCATAGTGACATGAACACGACATATATCATATAAATTTTTAAAAAACAAACGTGAGCCTGCGATCATTTGAAAACTAGTAACTAGCGGATAACTTCAAAAAATACTCGACATCGATGGGTCGACACCTGAGCCCGCGATACGGTCAGGTGATACTGGTCAGCGGATGCCCTGTTTTCACAGCTGTCAATTGATCACAACATTGGTGTGCAATCAGTTTTCTCCTGGGCTCCCAAACTAGCTAGAAAGTGCGAGAGTAAACATTAGAATGCCTGTGGTGCGGACGGACGGTCGTTCGTTCGGTGTACGGTCACGTGATAACCAAATTTTCTGGGGTGGGTAGATTTACTTAGTTATGGGGCTCCGCCCACGCGTGCGCGCTTCGTACGCGCGTGGAGCTCCGCTATTATGCAGTTTTGCGTTACGTGTTATCAGTGACATTCTGTGGAGCAGTTGTTTTGAAAGTTATGGACCAAAAGACACTCGTTAAGCGCAGATGAAGTTATAAGGTGCGTACTGTGTATATATAAACACTTAGAGAGTTTGCCAGATACGAGTTCACAAATCTTTGATTGGAAACCTTGCCAGACACTCGTCGGAATAAAACTCAGCCCCAAACAAGCAAGACGAGTGAGCAACGGCTAGCTTATCACTAGAAGAACTATGGACGATTACAGAAATTCACCGACAATCAAATTCTGTGCTGACTTATTCCCTGCTCACAGATGTGCTTCCGCTATAAAGTTTAAAATAAGACTACAATGCGCGAGCGTGAATTGATCAAACGGCCTTTTAATTTGTAAGGCTTACTTTCCGGCAAATAAAATGAACTGAATGTAAAAAGTGAAAGTGAAATAGCGAAAAATTCAACTTCTAATTAAATCTTTTCTTATGGGTTTAAAATAAACTATTCTCGAAACTGAGAATGTTTTGATCAAAGCTGTGTAAATCGAACTGAAACTGTGCATGGAACCTTGCCGGTTTCCTGTATTTATCTCACTTATTGTATGGAATATGTGTGAAAATCTTCATTATGAATCGGTATATTTCAAAGAGCTACACAATCAACGAGCAAGAATACTATTGACCGACAATATACAGAGCGGGGGCAGTTGTTGTGTCAACTATTACTAGTAGATAATTCCTGGCAATGTGTGCCCTTAGCCTGTTCCAGTCGTTCAGATCGAGGAGAGTGGCGCGCGCTTTTCTTTGCGTCTTCCCCACTATCTGAATGCCTGTGCTTTGAAAGTTGAAGAGGGCCTGGTGCTCTGAGCCCGTGAAGATTGTGAAATCCAGGGTGCCCAGGATCTGATTTATGTGAAAAAAAATATACTTCCTTTATGCCCAAGGGCAAGATTAAGGCACCAGGCACTACCGGGCACTAACAGAGCACAGCCCCGACTGGGCATTTACTGGTTAAAATAGCTACAGTTTCTGCTTGAAAATTTAGTAAGGCTGCATTCTCTGGTATGAATTAAGTGTCTGTATGATCGTTAGAGTAACAAAAATGAAAAATAATAGCTTTATTTTTACATATGCAATACGTTGCTTACAACATATATGTTTACATTTATTCCGATATTACTTTCTTATGAAGGTCATACACACGAAGTAGATCACAATATAAATTAAAGATAGGAGCTTTAACCCCGTTTATAATTTAGTAGTAACGTCCTTGTTCTGGGCCCCCAACGGACTGAATGAATCAGTTACCGGAAATGCGTTTGGATTTTGCCTTCAACCTGATTGACAAATTAACAATGGCTTTTTTCAGTGGGTAACTGGCCAATCATAGAGCGTACTCAAATCCTGATACACAGCTGGGGCCCTGAAGAAGGATTTCAGCGCTGTTTTGCAGACAAACTTAACCAGTGGATTTAGTTCCGCCGTCTGTGGCGCAGGCTATAGATATGGCGCTTATTACAAGTTGTAGAATGTACAATCAAATGCCTACGCCAGCATTGGGTAACTTACTCATAAAACAGGGTGTACTTTAATTCCAGTGTTACTTACTTATGAAGTCGGTTGTAGACGTAAAATAGATTAACTTGAATTAATATCGCTTATGACAAGTTTTAGGACATAAAATTAAACACGCTCCATAGTAATTAGCAATAACGGCTGACATTTGTATTTATAAAATAAGATAGTACGCGCGCTCTGATTGGTTAAAAACTTGTGGTTTACTTTGCCGGTAAACTCATAGAAAATGCGTTTCGAGGGCTTGTAAATCACTCGCCGTCGGCTCGTGATTTACAGGCTTTTCTCGTTTTCTCCCAACATCCCGCGTGGGTTATCATTCATATTCTGGCAAAAGGTAACTTACTTATAAAAAGGGATTCGTTCCTTAATTCCTGTGTTGCATACTTATGAAGTAGGTTATAGATCAACGTTTACGTAAAATAGCCGACTAAATTGACTGAAGATACTAGTAGATATGTCGCTTACAAAAAGTCAGTTAGGATATACCACTGAATCCAACTGCAGCTGAATAGGTCATACAAATGAAATAGACAATGTTAAATAGACAATATTGAGTGAAGACACAAGTATATGATGGCTTATGAAACGTTTTAGCGTTTACGATTAAACCTGCTTGTTATAGTAAGCAATTGTGATCAGTTAGGGTTCCTAGGCAATGGGTTATTTGAAAAATCAAATGCACATCAATAGACCTTGTCACGGTTTTCGACGCCATCTTGACGAGTAGGCAAACGCGTGAGAACTTACAGTGATTGTATGAGAATCTAATGTCGAATAATTTCCTTAGAACAGCTGTTCTGAAAAAAAATATGATTTGTAAACTAAAGCTTCACTCCTAAGAATTCCCCTGAACAAATTTTAGGGCGTTACATGCACTAGAAGACCTAGAACCACTTTTTAAAATTTTCTATACATTTGTCTGTAAGAAAGTCCCGGGAAAATTACAGACAAATATATGGAGAATCTAAAGAAAGCCTCTGGAGAAATTTAAGCACAGGTACGCCCCCAAAAATTTTTTTAGGACAATCCTTTGCTTTGTAGCTTTAGTTTACAAGTGATATTTTGTTCAGAACAGCCGTCTTACGGAAATCATTCGACATTAGATTCTCATACAAACACTGTAACTTCTAACACGTTTGCCTACTGGTCAAGATGGCGTCGAAAACCGTGACAAGGTCTATTCAGATATTACTTACTTATGAAGTAAGTCATCCACGTAGAATAGACAATATTTGATAATTAAAGAAACGAGTAGATGTGTCGCTTATATATGATGTACTGTTAGAGTTTTCTATTCAACTGGTAAGTCGACTTATAGAATAGGATTTTACCCAAGTTACTTATTAAGTATACAGTGAGTATAGGTCGTACACTTAAAATAGACAATATTTTAAAAGAAACGAGGAGATATCTTGCTTTTTGCAAGTCTTACAGGACATTCAATAAATATACAACTATGGCGGCTTTTGAAGCCGAGGTAGACTGAGGCAATTTCCCTCTTGTTGAGACTGTTATGATGAGGGAGTGTCTTGTCTCGAGACCACAATGCATTTATTTATGCCAGTAATTCTGGCAGGAATGACATCGTAAAGATCATCGTATACAGCTCCGCACAGCTGCTAAACACATCGAACACTCATTGTTAGTCGCCATGCATTTTTTGGCAATTTAGAGGTGTGAGTAAGCTGATTCTCTATGATCTCAGCGCTTGGAAGTAAATCAGGGCATTCAGAGCTAGGAGCATAGAAACTTCAATCCAACCACTTGAACAGTGGAGTTTAAAGAGACAAAGGTAAATTGTAGTCTTGTTTGTTCAAACCAATGCCGTATGGTTGTAGATTTGACGACAGGGGTCAAGTTTTATTTAAAAAGAAGTATGTTACCTTGTTTTGGCTCTTGGAATCATAACGGCGAAATACTTCCCTTCAAGGCCTTCAAGAGTATGGGAAATCACGGAAAAGAGCTTTATACGTGAGAATATTACTTGCAAATTCGACACCAGTTATAATTCAATGACATGAATCATGTATAGCTTGTATTAGTACAAATGTTTGCAAGACATCTGCCGATACACAGAAAGCAGTTCTTGAAAAGAACGAACATGACGGTTATGAATGTAAATATGAACGCAGTTGTGTAAACTTAACATTGCTTTCTGTTCGATTCTTATTTTTGTCTAAGGTTCAATCTTTTCTTTCTTTTGATGGTCGTTGTGCGTTGTCATTTTTCTTACTTTGGCAAGACTCGGCATATTGCCAGTAGGTGGGTAAAAGCGGAAGTGTGGTTTTGCCGAACGTGTTTTTATTTCTCATTTCATCAAGACAGACAAAAATTGCCTTGTACAATTTCTGAACAAAGTTAAAAGTAATACATTGATCTTTGCAAGTTATTAGAAGTTGTTTTGAAACAGTCTAGCCTATCTCCAGCGTATAAAAAATACGTAGCTTTTGTTTATTAGGGAAATCCCGAAGACAATGCGGAAGTTTACCTGTTTCTGGGAATTGTGTGGTCCTACAGTGGATTAAGTTTGAAGGTGGAAATATCACGGTGAGGATAAAAGCTACCGGTAGTATTCAGTCTTCAGTGACTAAAACAGTGCGAGTCTGCAGTTAATTAAAAGACTTGTAATTCATAATTGTTAAGAGACAAAACTGGTACATTTTAACTTGAGTTTTTTCAAATGAATGTCGCTTGGTTTAGCTTGATGTGGAGAACGCATGTGTCGACAAAAACGAAGGGCGCTGAAGATTGCAAAGAGTTTTTACTGAGAGCCAACTAAACGATGCTAAGCATGTTACTGCAGCGTGTACTTGTACTTCTTCTTGTACTGTATCTCACATCAAACCGACAATAACTTTTGACAGCTGGCGTATCAGTCTGAGACCGTGTTTATCATAAATATGGTCCCAAGTGTTTCGATTCCGATCTGTTTCTGAAAATTAGTGGTTTTTCAAAGGCCTAAGGAGTGAGCTTTAAGAAACATTCGGACCTGTGTCTGATAAATAGCGGTATCGACTGTACATGTTGACTTGGGAGAGAACCTTGCAGGAAATTGGTAACGATGAAAACTTTGCTATTCCTTTTTGGAAAAGTAAAACACAATGTGAGCCAGCTATTTGTTCCGAAGAGCTTCTTGGTGTAACAAAACAAGTTGGTGGAACTGTGCAGGGCAAATACTTTGACAACTGGTGCGTCATTTGCACCAGCGAACAAACCCATTTCTCGCCAAAGATGTGTGACCCAATGAACAAGAAAACTGGTTTGGAAAGGATCACTGAGAAGGAAATGGAAGGAAAAGTAAGAAAAGAGGGATATACAATGACATTTCCAGCCAAAGAAGAAGTCAACTTTGCACTCCGGTTTGAAACTTTTGACCTGCCACCCTATGGCAAAGAGTCAAGCTGCAAATTTTAAAAAGATCATTGAAGGCTACGTCAGTGCAAAGACCGGTTATCCTTTGCCAAATGTCCACACCTTTTGACATAACCAGGTTCACATAGTCGTGGGTGGAGCCATGGGAGATGTATCTTCTGCGTCAAACGACTCAATCTTCCCTCTTCATCATTTCTTTGTGGATCGTATTTATGAGAAATGTCCTCGCAAGTTCAACAAGAACGCTTCGGTTCCTTCAACCTACAATGCACCCATCGGACACAACAAAGATAACGTCATTGTACCATTTTATCCTGTGTTATCGACAGTATACGTATACTCATCAACAGATGTTTATTAATAAGAAGTCTTTCGAGTTCGGTTATGACTACGACAATATAATGTCGACGAGAATGGTAAGTATACATTAAGTTTCTACATGACCTTCCTTTACTTTTTCCTTTAACTTGAATGCGATTTAGTGTAATTGTAGTGAAGCCCTTTGAGGGAAAATATGTCACTCGAACCCCACTGTACGGACACCCACCGTTAATTACGAACAGTTTTCTTTGTTCCCGGGGAAAGCCATTACCTCTCTTAGATTCAATTCCTTGGGAGTTCGAATGGCCCCAAAAGAAACTGAAAACATTGCTTCTTCAAAACTTTGGGGTGACAAACAAAGAGCATTATGGGTATGTTATGGAATTTTCTGTAGTGGTCAATAATCGTTATTGCGGAAAACGGACACTTTGGTCTCTCGAGTCAACAGATATAAATTTCTCATAATCATATTGGTAGGGAGAAACCAACACTGAACATGTAGCGTAATCATTTGAGCTTACTCTTCTGTTTTAACCAGATTTTACTCTTGCTATCCTCATCATCATCAATATCGTGATCGTTATCATTACTTATTTTCTTTATTTTTGCTACATATTATACCTTTGAAGAGATTGAAAACGTTACGTTTTTCCTGAACGTGTAAAATTCGTTATCTCACGCTTATTAAGGATAATGTTAGATTCAAACAGACCTTTCCAGCTTAGGTTGCGTAGCAGACGCCGTTTGCCTCAGAGCGCCTTCTGTACAGGCTATGTTTAGCTTGTATGGTTTGTTTTATTTTAATAAATTAATGTTCAGACCACGTGATGTTCTCCAGGAACTTGCCTTTTGTCCTTTCATAAATTATGCATAATTATGCACGAGGATGCTCGCGCACATCAGGACGAAATTAGAAAGAGACAGTTCTCTGAAGTACCATCACTTAAAATAATGATAAAACAAAACATACAAGCCGAAAAGGTCACTTGTTATCGTTGGTTGTAACATCGATCAGTGCCAATCGTATCATGCATCATGCGCCATTTATTGTAACTTCAATCATAAGTGTATCACTTGTAACTGAACTGATCAGTGATCAATCGAAACATGCCTTGCCCTCTAAAATCAGTAGTTGTTCATTTTTTTTTTACGGATTCTTAATTATCCCCAATTTTTAACAATATTTAAATCGTCAGGCAAATCTTCTGATGATGAGACAAAAGTAGAACCATATCGAGTGGCCAAAGGACATAAACTCAGACGCATTTGCTCGCAGGACAGTTACTGCATCGGATTCTACTTGTCCGGCAGACGGTGTAAGTTTGGCTTTAATGTCCACATTACTATTAATACTGGATAGCTTTTGCGCCGGCGCGAAAACCATACTGGATAGGGCTTCTGTTCACAAATAAGAACAGTGATTTCTTTTCGGCGCGATTTCTGTAACGGAGCGAAACTGCGCCGCGCAGATCCCTAGAGTGAAGAGTGAGTTACATATCGGATAGGTGTTCACAGACTTCACACTATATCGGATACCTTTTATATTATATTTTACAAAAAATTCACTACCAAGTTGTTTTGGACAGTAAGCGTTCACCGTTGGGATTGCGCTAGTTTCTTATTGATGCTGAAAACAAGGCTGCTAATGGTCCATGAAGGCTAAAATAGCAAAAATGTAGCCAAACGTTTGAGATTCTAATCACCTTTTCCGACCTGTTGGATTGGCTTCCACTTTAAACAAGACACTGCAGAAGCGTTAGGTCGGGCTTTAATAACATATGTAAACTTTCGCTTATTCACCATCTTCTGATAGACCATAACGCATCTTAGTAGTAGTACCAATATATAGCCATTTCAAAACCAACTTCACGGCACTTAAGAGACTGTTCCATGCTGATGCTGCTAACCATGTGGAGTTGTTTCCTGCCGCATCTCGCTGGATGATTACTTGTTTGGCTGCGGTTGGATGTTTCCATGACTTGTTGATCACGATCGAGGAGTCAGTTTGTGGTTGGTTTGCATCAACTAAGTACATCTGTTCTTCCTCGTCGATTTCCGTCTGTAGAGAAGAGAGACAAACGGTCGTTGACTTAAATTAGCCTAAAAAACAGCCTACCTTTTGCGTTTCCCCTCTAATATTCTATCCAAACGCAAGGTCGCTTGCAACTTTTTTAAAAGCCGTCGTTTACGTTGTGAAACACTAGCAATGTTTGCTTTTGTTTTTATGTTGCATTTCTTTACTTTGCTATAAACTTAGTTCAAAGTAAAAGTTTTCCAGGCAATTAGGTTGTTGTGAAACTGCTGCTTTTGTCACGGAGACAAGCATATCAATTGACGACAGGTGGATCTGATGAAAGCGTTCTTGCCAGTTCCAAAGTCTTCAACACTTGTAAAGCGTCGATGGAACGGTTTTGTTCAGCGACGTTCATTCCTGCATTTGAAGGCAATTAAAGCGCATACATATTTTAAATTCATTTAAACCGCTTAAATGCGGCTGATCAGCATAAACCGTGTGAAAATGTGTGCTAATACTTAAATTGAACCTTAAAATCCCACGGCTACAACTACATTACAACAAAGCTATTAAAAAATCTTTGAAAAGTGTTTTAAACTTTGTGGAAACAAATAACGGAACTTGACTTCGTAAGTAACTTCGATTGCGAGCGCCAGAATCGCTTTCGATCCTTAGAAACAAGTAACCAAGGAAACAAAATCATCCAAACAAATAACATTTCAGTTTCAACTGGTTGAGGTCAAGAAGAGAAAATTTCACGACAACCAGTTAAAGTTAATCCTAAACAAATTAAAGAAGCTCTAACACTTTTATGAACAGCTGACGCAGTAGTTTGATAACTTAAAGGCAAAAGCAAAGTTAGTCTCGGAAAATAAGGATTTTCGCGCGCGCCCTGTACTATTGCTACAAGCTTACGCCATCGAAGAAAATAATGCGAAGAGAACAGATGTGAAAATAACCCAAATTTTACCTTCCTCGCTGACATTTCCCGAAGCAGTCGAAGTTCCTAACATTGTTAGGAGGAAAATTATGTAGATTAAAAACGTTTTCATTTTGTCAAGAATGACTTTTCTCTTTCCAAAGCGCAACACGACTAAACTCGTTTAGCGACGTGGCCCGGGTTGCTCGAAGCATGGTTAGTGCTAACCAGCTTTAAAAACCATGGAAACCTATACATTTTGATACCTCTTAACCAACGGTTAGCGCTAACCAGTCTTCGAGCAACCGGCCCCTGGAACGATTAAAAAACCCGACGTCATAAAGTCGTCATAAAATGTTTTCCTGCGCGCGTAAAGTTTATGGAACACTCCTTTATCCTCCTATGAATTGCATTACATTGACATCAGTTGCAACTGTTCATTTTTTTGGTTTTCGAATTGAGAGGAATATGGTTAAGCCTCGGTACTCATAAGTATAGGTAAGTACATAAATAAGCTCTCTGTTAATTCCAATAACAAACGTTCCGGATTTCATATTGACAGTTAGATAAAATTGAAAAGACACCTGTTAATAAAACAGCATTTAAAACTTTCAGTCCTGATTTGAAGAAGCACATAGGAGTGACCATGATTCCGTAGCAATCTTGTTTTACTGGGTGGGAGGAGATCTGTCAAATGGCCCTCAGTAGAATTTGTGACGCTCTTCCACAACTTATTATCTGAGGCCTCTACAAGGCTTAAAATGGGCATGGCCTCCTTAAGAAAGCCAAAACAAACTGCCCTTTCCTGAAACTTATCAATTTTAGAAAGATACTTGTCATGACTTGAAACTCCCCATACTGAAATGCCATAGGTAAAAAGAGGTCTAATCAGACTATGGATGTGATTGTTTTAAAAATAAGTCCAGACTATAGCCATACTTCTTGCACACTCACAATATGTGCACACTCCTTCCTGCCCTGCCGAGAAGAGCATCGATTTACTTGTTGTTTACTTGTTGTAGGATTGCTGTGAAAGTAAAAGCCTATTAAAAGGTTAAGAAATACTGCCTTGTTGATATCTAGAGTAAAAAAGAACAGTATCCTTTCTTCTTTTACAAGGTTTTTACGTACAGTCTCCCTTTATCAAATTATTTACAAGAAGTGTACACTAAGGTTCAAATCAGTCTCCCTTTTCTGATTTACAATGTTTTTCCAGTACAGGGTCAAATCAGTCTCTCTTTTTCTTTTCCCAAGGTGCTTACTCGGCCAAATCAGTGTCTTGATTTACATGATGTTTACACTTTACTTACATGTTCTTAGAGGAAAGATTTACAGGCTATTTACAAAGAAGATACTGTAAATATGTGTAAAACATTTTACACATTTTTACATGGTCTCCTATCCATTACTGCCCAAGGACACTTGCTGTAAATGTATGTTACAGTAAATTTACATGGTGAGGGAAACTGAAAATTGATGTAAATTTTATTTTACAAATCCTATCATGTAAATTGGAATTTACAAAACACGTAAATTGTATTTTACAGGGTGTAATTTCATTTTTACGCGTGCCTCTAAATTTTCAACTTTTCCAGTGAAGAACAATTAAAGATCCAATTTAAGAAAGAAGGAAAACTTTACGAGCACTGATAAAAAGTCCGTCTATCTTGGTCAGCTCACGTGAACTTCGAAACCCTACGACAGATTTTTCCATAACTTCAGCAAATAAGCCTCAGGAGCTCTTCAGATTTAAATCTGCAAGTTGGAAGTCAATCGTGACCAGAGGACCCATAGAACTCGCTGCACAAAATCCTGGTCAAATTTAACCTTAAAAATGAAACGCTAACACATTAAGTTTGTAAAAGTTGACGCACAAATAGAGGAAGAGGGCCCATAGACTACCTCCTATCTGTAAGGATATTCTGCAAAGAAACTGAGTAATCAGCAACAGGCGTTCAGATAGTAGAGCGCAGCGGTAAGTGGAGAGCGAGTTAAGTTGCACACCGAGAAAACGGGGGGAGAGGGGGGAGGAACGGGGTGGGACGAGAGCGAGAGAACGCCTGTAAACATTGTTAACAAAGGGTAGTTCCGGTATACTGGATTCCAGTATACCCTCTTATTGGTCGATTATGACACCTTCTGATAACAATCAAGCACTAGTGACATTGATGAGGAATGCGATATGGAGGGAGAGAGACGTTTGTTATCGAATCACGCGGACATCGAAGCTACTATAAACAATGCAATCGAGCATTTCCCGTATTTTGGAATCAAAAAGAAGAGCAAGAAATTTGCTTGAATCTCGTTCGCTGAGGCCAGGACGTTTTCGCCATTCTTCCAACGGGCTCTGGGAGACCTTCACTTTTCTACTCTTTCCACGAATAATAAACGTAATTAAAGGAAAAGTTGGCGAGTCAATTTCCACGATCATCATCGTTGCGCCTCTCGCAGCCGTAATGAAACCAAGCTCAAGCGATTTGGAATAACAGCAACAACAGCCATAGGTTGGGGACAGGAGGAAGGCATGGACGAAGACACGCCAATGTCAGGCAATGTGAAAGGAAAGTGTGCGTGTAAGATCATTTCTGGAAGCCCAGAACGGCCAAAGGTTATTTAGCCGCGATAAAAAGATGCTTTTTAAAACAGAGGTCAAAGAAAATCAGTACTTAACTGCATCTGGAATCAAATTCTTTCAGAAACAAACCGCAGGAAATAATTGCCCAGTATGCATGGCTGAGCTAACTCAACAGTCACGTTTCACACCATCATGAGCTTATGGGTCGCGTTTAGCCTGTCAGCACTTTGTAGTTCATGTCACAGTTGCGCGGTCGGCGGTCAGTTAAGGGCGGAAAGAGCTCTGTAAGGGAATGTTTACAGGCGTTCTCCCCCTTCCCCCTCTAGTCTCCCCTCGTTTTTTTTTTCTTCGTGAATTTTTCTCCCGCGCTCTACTATCTGAACGCCTGGAACAGGCTAATCAGCAACCTACGGTGAATACAGTTCGCAATAGAACCATAACATTCACAGCTTTCACATTTATAGTCATTCTAAAAGAGGTTCCCTTCAAAGGCTGAGCACTTAACCTCGTTTTGATACAGAGACCCGCGAGAACTCGGAAATGGCCTATTTGTGCTAAAAATAGCAGATCTGACTATACGAGGAACTGATAAAATAACATTCCCCATTTGCGCACTTCTCATAGTACAGCTTGTTTGCCCTAAAAGTTACATAACCTTTGTTTTGAATCTCTCCTGGGTATTACAACTTAAAGACAATGTTTACCGCAAATGATCTAAAAGACGCCCGGGGCGTTTAATTAGTTTTAGGGGTCCAAGCCAGGGCGTTTAATAGAGAGAGGCTGAGAGAGAGGTGTTTATTCCAATAACTGTAAAAAGCTCAGCACAACTCAGTAATATGCTTCCGGCGAAAATATCAAGACAGTTAAAAAATAGGGGAATATCCACTACATCGACACGTGTAGAGATCCCCATTACTTTTCCAAATCCCAACATCGATTTCAGAATCCTCACTTAGGGTTATTGTGTTGTCATCGTTATCAATTCGTCATCGTTATCAATTCGTCAATTCAAATTTTTATTTCACTGACACAAAATATGCACGATTATAGGAATATAACAACCGTTCGTTCTAAACAATATGAATACAATCACATGTAGAAGAGAAAATGAATTATATGTTCAAATAATTACAAATTCAACATTATTAAAGCTTTAGAATGGGAAAAGGAATTTGAAAAAAAGAGGAAATGTGAAAGAACTTTACTTTATACTTGTTGTTTGTGTGGAGTTTGGGACGCCTAAATAATTAATAAAACTAATCGAGTAGATGCCCCAACGAAAATATATATGAGATAAAGGAATTCAGTGCAGTGATATTGATTCAGTGATAAAAAGTACTACTTCAATCATTTACTAACTTATGTTTAATTAACATGGTCATAAACTATTTTAAGAATTCATGGCACTACTATACCCGTCAATCATTTAAACTTATTATTTTGAGGAAATCTCGAAAAATGAGTAATTTGTTTAGCGTGAGCTGGTAGTGCATTTCAAACTTTTGCACAGTTATAACGAAGGGAGCGAATACCATATTGTCTAGTTTGAGCTGGGCTTAAAAACAGATCTAGGTTAATCTATCAAAATGTAGAGAAACAAGGGACAGAATAGCCTGCGTAGCAGGCGCTTGGAAGTAGTGAGCGAAAGAGAGAACGGGCGCGCGAGGGAGACACGCGAGGTCTCGTTCTCACGCGCCTGTTTTTTCTTGTGCCCACTACTTCCAATCGCAGAAGATAATGGCTTGAAATAATCAGCAAAACAAGAAGGACGTATCTTGTGAAACCGTTCATAAATAAAAGAAAAAATTTCAAGATGGATTATATCACAAAATTTTACAATTGAGGGATTTAAACAAAGGTTTTGAATCATGAGATGCGGCTTTTAATATATGATAGTTACGTTTAGTGCAATTTAGTCATGTTTATGAGTTTTATCTCTATTTTTGTCTATTTTGTTTTATGTTAAGGTTTGAAATTTGTTAGTTAGAGCTCAATATGTTAAGCAACCCGCCTCGATAAGCTTGTCTTAGGCTATTTGCGCGCTCCTACTTCCAGTAAGTTATTGTTAGTAAAAGAATGGGAATAAATCATTGTTAATATATTGTTATAATTTCTGTCATCATGGTGATTTTAATTTTGGTTTTCTTTTTCTTCTTATGGAAAACAGCGAAAGTGCGAGATCTACGTGGAGAAAATGTGTAATCGCCTTCACCAGCTGGTGAACGTCAGGGACAAAATTCACCAAGGCAACTGAGGGAGATACAGCTACGTGAAGAAAATTTGCAGAAGCAGTTACAGGAGATAAGGCAACGTGAAGAAAATTTGCAGAGGCAGTTATTGGAGACGAGGCAACGTGAAGAACGCACTCGAAGGGAGATGCAGCAACGCGATCGAAATTTGGAGAGGCAGTTATTGGAGACGAGGAAGCGTGAAGAAAATTTGCAGAGGCAGTTATCGTCGGTAACGCAATGTGAAGAAGATTTGAAGGGACAGTTACAGGAGATGCATCAAACCGACGTAAACTCACAAAAGCAGTTGCGAGAGATACCGCAACGCGAAGAAAACTCGCAAAGGCAGCTGAGGGAGATACGGCAACGCGAAGAAAACTCGCAGAGGCAGTTGAGGGAGATTGTGCAACGCGAAGAAAATTCACAAAGGCAGCTCAGGGAGATGCAGCAACGAGAAGAAAATTTACAAAGGCAGTTAAGGGAGATGCAACAACGAGAAGAAACCTCGCAAAGGCAGTTGAGGGAGATGCAGCAACGAGAAGAAACCTCACAAAGGCAGTTGAGGGAGATTCAGCAACGCGGTACAAACTCACTAAGGCCTTCGAGGGAAATTCAGCAACGACTGGAGAACTTTCAACAACAGGTGTCCGTCTTAGAAAGACAGGTGAGAGAAAAAGACCAGGAAGTTAATGAACTAGAGTTAAGTCTTTCGTCAGCCCAGCAAACAATAAATGACCTACAACGACAGGAAGAATGCGACTGGGTCATTTCCCGCGATGAAATTCAAATGACCAACAAATGCCTTGGCAGGGGAGGCTGGGGAAGTGTTTATGAAGATGTGTATTGTGGCTGTACTGTAGCAGTGAAAAAAATGCATGATCTGATTCTCTCCCCTCACAAGATACGTCTTTTCGAGAGAGAAATGAATATTGCGTCCAAGTGCCGCCATCCTCACTTGCTTCAGTTTATCGGCGCCACCAACGATAAGGGAACGCTCTGTTTATTACGGAATTGATGGAAGAAAGTCTAAGGTCTCTGTTGGAACAGCGTAAGCTCTCCGAAACTGAAATACGCACCATTTCTTTGGATGTAGCCCGCGCACTGAACTATCTTCACCAGAAGAAACCAGAACCCATCATTCACCGGGATGTCAGCAGTGCGAATGTGTTGCTATGGCGACAGGATGACCAATGGAGAGGCAAAGTGTCAGATTATGGCACTGCTAATTTCATGCAGCAGACCATGACGGAATTTCCCGGAGCCATGATTTACAGCGCCCCTGAAGCAGTTACATCGAACCAGACAGTGAAGGTTAGTTTCACTGCAATTAGAACTTTTAAATTCAATAGCGTTTAACCAACATCTTTTAGACCTAGAAGAAAGGCGCTACTGCGTTGATCTTGAGTGCTTAGGACTTTAAGGCCTGGTTGTTCGTTTACTCACACGAAAGAAACCCTACTCCACTATATCCTTCTTCAGCTAGGTGTACAATAAGAAGTAGCAAAATAATCTTGATTATTATGGTCATTTTCCACGCGTTTATGCCACGAAAACAAACTTAGGCTGCAGTCGTGTGTTGCGATTTAAATTTTGACAGCTAAAACTGATAGAGTCGAACCTTTTTACAACGACCACTTTTGAGAGGAGGTGATAACGTCACCGCTCAGAAAGGTGCCCGTTATAAGGGGGTTGGGGGGTGTAAAGTGACCCCTTGTGTATTTATTTTTGTTTCTTGGCAGTGGGAGGAGAAGTTTACAACACCTTTGTAAAAGACCATCCTTATCTATACGCACGACGATCAGAAAACAATACCGAACCCAAATTTCCATAAGAACGATGTTAGCAAAGCAAAATGAGTAGGGCATAGAGAGTTTATTCAGCTGGGGCGCAGTTTACAAGCTTTTGTAAAGAGGGTAATCAAGAGTAATTTATCCTCACTGCATGTCTGTTGTCGCATCACGGCAAACTAAGTTCATTGTTATGAAACTAAGTTATGGGCAGAATCCACGACGGCCTTGGCAAAGATATGCAGCTAGGTTTGATGATGTGGTAACCGGCACCAGGAAAGTTGGGAGGTGCGAAGAGCGCCTCCTGCAGGCGCAACTTCACGTCAGGCTTTCCAAATTTATGGCAGAAGACTGCAAAGGATTGTAATCGTCCCCGATTGCCGAGAACTCTGAGATTGGTAGAACGCAGGCGTGTCCCCGAAACGCTCTTATCAGTCTTATTGCATGTGCGGTGAGAATAGTTGCCTTAGTCTGCACTACACATTGTAGGGGGTGCGAACAGGAAGTACAAAATGTATATTTACAGTGCGACTACTGTAACCGAGGCCTCTTAGAGAAAGTTGACCAATCTTATCACGGGAAAATAACACTACATTCCAAAAAAGTTGGTTGTGAGCTAATCAGCAGCTCGTAAAAAGAAAACAAGTTACTCGAAGCAAAAAATTAAATATTAATAGCAAACGTTTTTCAGGAAAGTAAAATGTGTGACCATACAATGTTTTTCCATTCGAAACTTTGCGTACGACACCCAGGAGACATATATCTTTGACACAAACTGTTATTTTGTCATCTACCAGCAATTTCTTCGCGGCTATTTCCGAGCTTTGCAACAACATGCGACCGCAAGTCAAAAATATATTTATCGTTTACGTTTTTTGCCTCCGTTACTCACTCTAATGGACCTCTCGGGAAACAAGTGCTTTCTTCAGCGGGTTCAAAAGGTCACGTCGGTGGGTTGTAATTGGTTTGTTTCGATTCATGTTGTTTATTTCGTTTCGTGGTAATTTTGATTGACAAGTAGCTTTCTCGGAATGTATTGTTATTTTTCTATAATCTGATTGGTCTACTTTGTCTAGGTGGTCCCGGTTATAGTAGTCGCACTGTAACAATTATTGAATAAGGCTTGAGTGTGATGTAAAGAACTATGCAGATCGAGGAGAATGTAACCGAGGTGGATAACAGCCTCCGAGGTAATTCTTATCATTATACCAATAATTGCTATAGTGAAAAGAATATTGATGGATGCTTTAAGGCAAATAACAAGGAATAATGTGTGTATCGTTCATAGGTTGATGTTTATAGCTTTGGTGTTCTTCTTTGTGAAATATGCGCCCGAGAACTTTCAGATCCTAGAAGGCGTGAACAGCAAGTTCTTCTGATGACGAACCGCTCCTTAAGAGGCCTGGTACGGTGATGCCTGCAGACAGACCCTGGGGCGAGACCAGCCATGCAGGTGATAATCGATGAATTATCCAGAGCTGTGCAACGTCTATAAAATATTTTGTGAAAACTTTCGTAGTTAATAGAGTTGAATTTTTAAGAATGTTTAGTGCGTCAAGTCGTGGCCAATCGTTTATCGTGACAAAGGTAATTTACAAAAGTGTTTCTAAAATAAAATTACCCAGGTTAAAAGCAAGCAACTTATATATATTAGAAATATCGAGGTCTTCTCTGTAAAATTTTAGTAATGATATACCCAAAAGTCATACATGGTATTATTTACCATCGTGGTCAATAGCAATTTGTTTTTTGAGTAGCTTTGTTGAAAAAAAGTTACTTAGGTCCTGGAGAAATCCGCTGAGACGTTAGTGTATATCCTAAGCTTGCTTCCAATATGACTGTTTAATTGGAACAATAAAAAACAAATGGCTCTATTTTTACATACATTTATTCAGATATTATTTTCTTCTGAAGAAGGCCATACACACGAAGTAGACAATATTTGTTAAAATTTTTTTATAATATTAGAATTAAAGATACGAGTACATATGAGCTGCCGTATCATCACGTGTCTTGTCTTTATTGTATTCACCTTAACCCGTACTGAAGGCACAGTTCCCTAGACTTTGTACATCCTTGGCGAGTCTGAAAAACAAGAAATGTTGTCCAATCCCAAAAGGCTTTAGTGCGCCATGCGGTAATGATGGAAACAGAGGTACACGCCAGGAGTTGGTCATTCCTGATTGGTCCCTCAAGTACAATCATTACCAACCTTTCCAGGAAGACGACGAGCGCCATAACTGGCCTCATGCTCTTTACCATAAAACGTGCAAAATGCAATTCAAACTTTGCTGGACATGACTGCAGTAAGTGCGACTTTGGCTACTATGGCAAAGACTAGGCACAGAAAAAAACCCTGACTCGCAAAAATTTCCTCAAGTTGTCAGCCCAGGAGAAGGATCAATACATGAGGTACATCAACATGTCCAGGTACTACATAAGCAATTATATGGTGACTTTGACACCATATGAAGAGATCAACAAAACCGTGATGGCCAACCGCGACCCAACAGCACTCTTTCACAACATCAGCAACTATGACTTGTTCGTGTGGATCCACTACCTGCACGAGGCACCATTTTCCCACATAACATGACACGGGCAGATATTGACTTTGCGAATGACGTGCAGGGGCTTCCTACGTGGCATCGACTGTATAATACAGTAGAATAGGCCCTTAATAAATAAATAAATAAATAAATAAATAAAGTTTTAGAGGTAGCAATTCCAATAATCGAATCGAAATTTTGAAATGTTGGGTTTTGAAGAGAGGAGAAAACCAGAGTGCCTGGATAAAAACCTCTCAGAGCAAACGAGAGAATTAACAATAAACTCAACCCACATATGTTAAAAGTGCTAGCCAGTCCAACAAGTCTGGAAAGGCTATTAGAATCTCAAAGGTTTGGCTACATTTTTGCTATTCTAGCCTAAGGTGGCTGAACACAGTTTTGTTAGCTGTCAGCGGTAACTCGCGTGATGGCGCGTGTTTTAAATTGGACAAACAAAAATGGCTGCGAAAAAGCAATGGTACACAGAAAACGATTTCTCAAAATCTACTCATTGAAATTTTCTGATATTTTACTTTTATCCTACTTTAAATAACGAGAACTTTAAAATGGAAGTTGAACAAAGGAATTTTGTCTCACATTTAATAATTACAGTGCAATTATATTATTGATTATCTAAAAACTCTTCTGTTAAAGTTTGGTCAAATGAGTTTCAAATGGTGATGATTACTTATAGTAAGCTGTGTGCAAGGTTATAGGAAAATCTAAAGAACGAATTTTATGTAAACTGAGCAAAAGTGAAATTTTACAATTGTATCTAATCACTCGTGTTACCATGGAAACTACGAAAAAATCAAATTTTACCTGTCAATCAAAATCTTTCAGCAGTATATTTTTCACTTGCCAAGTTTCAGCTTCTGAGCTGCAACTTTTCTCTTGCCATTATTTGGCAAAATAAATACTCATGATCACAAACTGCCAAAACTGTGTTCAGCCGCCTTAACTACAACCTGCGTAGCATGCGCTTGGAAGTAATGGGCTCAAGAAAGAACGGGGCGCAGGAGGGAAACGCGCCATTTTCTCTCCCCTCAAGTGTCTCTTTCGCGCGCCTCTTTCTCTCCTGCGCCGTTACTTCCAAGCGCCTACTACGCAGGCTACCTTATTTATAACTATAAATAATTAACCTTTGGTCGCAATTAATCGGCCATTGGCAGCCTTGTGTTCATCATTAATAGGAGACAAGCTCAATCCCAACTGTAAACGCTTACTGTCTAAAACAGTAGTGGTAGTGGTAGTGAATTATTTTGGTAAAAGTACGTTCCTCAAATGAAAATATATATTAAATACAGCTTTTAATTTCCTTGCGCTGACACGGAAAGTTGTCCGGTATATTGTGAAGACTGTGAACACCCCCGCTATCCGATATGTAACTCACTCTCCACTCTAGGGATCGGCGCGGCACAGTTTTGCTCCGTTACAGAAATTGCGCCGAAAAGAAATCACAGTTCTCATGTGTGAACAGAAGCCCTATCCAGTATGATTTTCGCGCCGGCGCAAAAGCTATCCGGTATTAATAGTAATGTGGGCATTAAAGCCAAACTTACGCCGTCTGCCGGACAAGTAGAATCCGATGCAGTAACTGTGTTGCGAGCAAATGCGTCTGAGTTTATGTCCGTCGGCCACTCGATACCAATATATAGCCATTTCCAAACCCACTTCAC